CTTGCCAAGAAAACTGTAGAAACTTGTCCAGGCAATCACCAGGAGTCAACACTGACTCAAAGGCACACATACAGAAAAAGAGCTGGAAACTGGTTGGACTCTGGGAGGCCAAATGCCAGACTACAAAGGCTGGGTTTAGAAGCTTGGGGCTCACAGACAACAAAATGTCTGTGAATGCTTCCATTTATTTTTGTATTTTACAGATGTATATGCCACCCACTCCCAAAGCCTCTGGGCAGTTTATCATACATTACATACATTTAAAAACTACACAAACAACTACATTAAAATTTCTGAAGTGAGAACTTGGCAGGCTGCAGAACAAAGTACCTTGTGGAATCCTTGGTGCCTTGTATTTATTTATAAGTATCTTTGAATGCATAGGCCCAATAGCATTCTTAGAAGATAGAATTGATGGCTTTCTGTAGCACTGTTGGAAATATGCTGAGAAAATATGCCCAGAAAACACAAACACAGAGAGAGAGAGACACAGGCACACACAAAATAAGCTAAGATGGTAGAAAATACCAGGGAAGAGGACAAGCTGAGCAATCTTATGCTACTTGACACTTTGTGAGTAGCCACATCGACTATCATAACTTTTTTGTGAATAGATAATGCCTTTGTGGTATCCTTTTGGGAAAGTGTGCAGAACATGTTCTGAACACTAAATGTGTTTCTGGCCAAAAAAAGTTGCCTACCCTGAGACAGACGTTGGGTCTGATCATTTTTTCATGTGGATTCTCTGAGCTAGCTTACTACATGCAGTTTGGCTTAAACTTCCTTGAATCTATTTCCCATAACATCCAGGAGTTCTCCCAAAAACAAAGAATTATCTAAAATGTGCTTTGGGAGTTTTTGCAGAGCTCACCAAGTCAAGGAGCTTGATGAAGAACAATGAAAATGTATACAGGACAAGGTGAAGAAAGCCTGAAAAGTTGGGGTAGTTTTATGACAGTTGTGACAATAACAATATAACTAGCTTGACTGATGGCTCTAGGTCAAAGTCTGTATAATAGTGACAACCAGATTATATCACATGGCCTCATTTGGGTCCAATCACCTGAATTGTTTTCAGCTTTTGTTATCTAAAGGTTAAGATAAGAAGCCTACAGCACAATCCTATCTATGTTTACTCAGGACTAAGTCCCACTGTGTCAGGAAAATATACCTAAAATTGTAGTTTTAGAGATGCAAATATTTGTTTGTTTGATCCTTGCCATGTTGTGACTAATGAAATCTTATCACATAAATCTTTTCCTTATCTGAGAAGAGATTCTTTAATGCAGAAATTCGCAGCTTTTTCAGGTATCAAATGTAACTGCATTCTGGTGTGTGTGTGTAATGGCTACAGTTTTGTGAGATTTTAATTATTTTAGACCTGAAATTGTGTGCAGTCTCTCACAAGAACTCCAAAACCACATAGAATCACCTCAAATCTTATGAAGGTTCAACATTCTTACCTGAAATCCTTCATGATCTTGTGCAAGGTTTAGCCATTTCAGATATTTTTAATCTTATTTTATTACAGTTTCTGTAAAATGGTTTCATACTTTACCATTTCCTGGTAAAATGAGTATATCAGTTTTTGAAGGCCCCATTTTGGCAAGCCCTTTTAATGAAGAAACCCCTTACATGCCTTCTGTGTAAAACATAAATACTTTCTTTGAAAAGTTAACATAAACATAGGCCCTACAAATCCCAAATAAAGTTCAGCCTCTCTAGAGGAGTGTATTCATCCATGTGAACTATTCCATTGTTTGGTTGCTGAGAAACCACTTGATATTTTTTTTTCTGTCTAATCATAAATTTATAGTGGTTGGAATTTGGAATAGGGCTGTCATCACAGAGAATGCCTAATGTCAGCATTTCTGCCTGAGAGACCCTTAAATCTGTCAGATTGCAGTCACTTTCTTGGAGAGTTAGTCCAACCCAAATCCATTAAGCAAATTTCTGAGTGGATATACAGTATAGAGGGTTTCACTGTGAATGTGTTCTGTTGGGCAGTAGATCAAAAGATGTTTGATAGAGGGAATATTAATGAATTAGCATTGAGTGGGGAATTTTAAATGCTGTACTCCACTTTGTGAACCTTTGTATCTTTATATTAAATAAATAATTAAATGAATTCATTGATGAAGTATGGCTTGTAGATTTGGGTAGTAATAGTATGTTGTGTAGTGTTCCTTTTACTTCTCAGTGCTCTAAATGGCCAATTCAATAAGTATACAGTAGGGCCCACTTACCTTAAATACAGAAGAGTTGGGCCCTTATGAACTCTGGAAGTTTTGTGTTGAATTTTAAATGCAAACTATTCCTTTGTATATATCAGTAGAGGATTTTGCAGAAAATAATGGTAGAACTTGTCCTGTTGAAAACAACAGGAGGGTAGTGAACACCAAGAAACAGAACCTGGTCAGTGCCTTATCCTTAGGCTCCCATACTTTTTTCCCCCAAACTCTTCCTATTTGTATTTCTTCTACTCTCTGTAAACTTGCCTTCCTCCATATAGTTATCCTATGATTGTATTAATTATGCCATTCTTTTTCTGCTAGATATAATAAATACTTCTTATGCTTACTGTATATGTAAGCAGTGAACTGTGGCCTACTTATGAGACCTGATCCCCTTATCCCTGTTTTATGAAAAACATTTTAATATGCACAGTTCATTATGGTGATGAACTTTATGATAAGCTTGTTTGTTAATTGCCTATTAACTTTATTATTTCTCCATCAAAACACATAATTGGCTCATCCTCACATTTCTGTAACTGCAGCATGCGCCTATCCGCTAACCATTTTTAAATGACAAGTCCTCATGGCATTGCCTTTGTCTCATCCCTAGCCCCCATCAAGTTGTCTTTAGTTGTTCCCTTAATGTAGTGTTTTCTCACTTTTCCTCATGCAGTTTTGTTATGTATTTGCCTGTATGATACATATCATATGCATTTGCCTGTATGATGCCTGATCAACACTTTCTTATACGCTTGGGTTTAGGCATTTTTTTGAAAGAGTGCTAGACCTGGGTTTAAAAAACTAGGACTAGCTTTCTCTTGAGTGATGCAAGAGAACAAGTGAAAGAGAAAGCAAGAGAGTACTACTTGGAGTGGCAGATCATGGGGGAGGTACAGGTACACAGGGTGAAGGGAGAAGGAACACCCCTGGTCCATTTTGAGCCACTTCTCCATGCTTATCACCTGTCAGGAGGCTATTTTTGGACACAGGTTTGGCATTCTTTCAAAAGAGCTGTCACTTGGGCAGCTTGAAAAATAACTACACCCTCCCTCCCAGCACATTTCCTTGCCAATCCCACCACATCACACATTAAAGAGAGTGATTGGTGGTTATTTTTCCCAGTGACAGGTGGTACTTGATCAGAGTGCAGTGGAGCCAGGGAATCTACCAGTCATGTTCCTTTACTTAACATCATTAAAATTAGAAGGACAGCACCACTCCCCAGACTTATTTCTGAGGTAGAAAAGGCCTGGACAGTCAGGGTAGCATAAATTATGCCAGCATACTTTTCTACTGACTTGAGCATACTTTTCTATTAACCAATTGGAGGATCACATGTTAAAATGGCCACGAGGAAGAGCCCAATGCCTTCTTGTCAGCCCAAGGTAGTGGTGACATGGCAGATTGATGATTGGAATCCTCTGTATCTTTTTTTAATGCAGTCTCAGGGTTTCCAAATTGAATTGAGGCTGTAATGGTGGAGGATGGTACTTCTGCCCATTTCTTTCTGCTCCAGCTGCTATTACATCTGATTCGGGGAGGAAGGAGAGGTACCATATACTTGTGTGTCTTCCTCTCTGTATCTCACAACTTGGAAACAGAATGTCCATTTATCTATCATCCAAAAGAGAAATATGTCATAAAATATGTAGATTTGCATTAAAGTGGCATGTGCAAATTAACATGTATACATTTAGAAATGATTAGTATGATTTTAATAGAGTAGAAGTGCAGCTCATCTCACCATAGAGAGGAAGACTTATATGTAATCTCTGTGCTTGTTCATTTTCTTGTCCTGTGGAACCATGATGGGTCATCTGATGGACTTTGATTATGGTTCTTTACTTTAAACCAGCCCTTCAAATAGAAGTCTTGTTTACACACTTATCCATAGTGAGCTTAGCTCTGATTTACTCAATTCATTTTTCTAGGTTCACATTATCACCTTTGTTGGGCTTGTCCAACACACTAGGCTAAAATACAGTTGGCTAGCTTGTGGTTCAGTGCATTTTATGAGCAGAGCCAGGAGTGTCTTCAGGCAGACATTATAAAGTGTCTTCTATAAGTAAGGATATAGAGCCATTTTACTTGAGGGAAGGAAATGTACAGAAGGAAAGGCTTAAAATATAGGGTACCCACTATTTAAGACTCAAGGCCTTGTATTCTGCCGTTACAAGATTTTTTTCTTTTCTTCCTAGCATTTTTCCTGCAGGTACAGGGTCCGCTTTTTTTGGATCAACCAGTGTTGATCCATTGGTTGCGACAGGATTGACCGGCCAGCTTGTCACCAGAGCCTGACTTTCTGGGCTGAGAGAGAGTGACTGGCCCAAAGTCATCCAGCCGGCTTTCATACCTAAGGCAGAACTAGATCTCACAGTCTTCTGGTTCCTAGCCTGATGTCTTAACTACAAGACCAAACTGGCTCTCATTCTGTTGTTACAAGATGTTAGTTAATATCCTGATAGGTTCTGAGAGTCTTGAATACTTTAAGGGGGAAGCGACTGCAGGGATTTGTTATCTAATCTAGCCTATCCTTAGCAGATAATATTGGGGGATGGACTTGTTGGCAGATATGCTAGTTATTCATATGTCTGTTCAGAAATAGGGCCAATTATAGTTTCAATAAGGATGTGAGAATGACAGGCACTAAGTTCATCCTGTTTAGTATGTGAATGAGGCAATAATGTAAACAATAAACAAGCATGGCTTCCCATATTATACCTAATACATCCCTGAATGCTTGTTTTTCCCTTATTGTCCTAGGTGCTTTCTCACAACCTCTACACTGTGCTTTGTATCCCCCATGATCCTGTAGCTTTGGAGGAGCATTTCAAAGATGATGATGATGGTCCAGTATCAAGTCAGGGATATATGCCGTATCTCAACAAATACATCTTGGACAAGGTAAGCCTTTTTTTTACTTTGACAGCCTGAAATTCAGCCTCTTTGATACTTTGGATAAACTGGCAGTTCCAGTTTTTGCTGGGAGGTTAAAGTTTTCAGGAGGACTTTCTGACCATACAATTCTTTGTTCCTACAATTACCTTGCATATACAAGAGGGAACATGATCTCTATTCCATAAAAAGAGAAGCCCTCAGATCTCTATTCCCAAAGGGTAGTGTGGCTACGTGTTATGTGGTTTACCTAGAAGAAAAAGTGTTATTAACTGAATGTGCTTTTGTCTCAAATCGAATCAGATTATTATTCGGTATCACAGGAATTTTGCCGGGATCAACTTTTAATTAGCACATTGTTAGAAAAGCCTCTATTCAAAAATGTGTTCAAAAAAGTTCAGTACAGGTGTGAAACCTGATCTTTAGTAGTATTCCCAACCTTAATGTGCTCATGATGTGTTGGAGTATGAACTACAATGTCTGAAAGTCATGCTGACTGGGAATTATGCAGGATGTAGTATAATATATTTGAGTGCAAGCAATTGGAGAAAATTGATTTACAACACGATCAGAGAAGATTGGAGAAAGTACAATGAGTATGAACTACAATGTCTGAAAGTCATGCTGACTGGGAATTATGCAGGATGTAGTATAATATATTTGAGTGCAAGCAATTGGAGAAAATTGATTTACAACACGATCAGAGAAGATTGGAGAATTCTTAGTACAATTTTCCTAAGAATTAGTAGATTTATTTTATAATGTATTAAGAATACCATGCTCATCAAACCACAGTTTCATGAACATGATGGTGGTAGAATTGAAGCTGTTCAGACTTCCGTCTGTAGATGTTTCAGATCTCCTTCCTTTCCTGCTTATTGCAGAAAAAACACAGAAACAGTCAGAATTTGTACTATAATTCCATATCTTTAAGATACTGCTTTTTAAAAAGTCACAAAAGTCCCGTGATCATCAAAACTTCTTTTTTTGATAATGGCAGTCATGCTAACTGCATGCAGGTATGCATAATTACAGCAGTTTTTGCAGAACTCCACGTATTCTTCATGGTCTAAAGTTCAAACTTGTTAATAGTGTGAAACTCAGAAAAATAAATTTGGCTAGGTTAAAAATAAATTATAGGCAGGTTGATGACTGTCTGTCTGTCTTTCATCAGCTCTGCTGATCACATCGTTTCTAACAGTTTATCTTTGAGAGAGAGTGATCCTCAGGAGAAAAAAAAGATTGTCCATCCCAAGCTAAGCCAGTAGTGCTTGCATTAAGGAAATTCATCCTGTTTCTATTTAGTGGCATTCGTATGTTACAGCTTGAAACATCTTTCTTTGGGAACAAGACCTATAGAGCTCTGTGAGATTTTCTTCTCTATAAGTATTTTTAAAATAACCCTGTTACAGTTTTTAGAAAGCTAATGAGGAAAGCATGATTTGACAGAAAAATGGTCAAATAATGTGTAAAACAGTAAAACACAGTAAAACAAAGGTTTTAAAGTCATTAAATGTTCCCTACTTTCTCCCATTATCTTATTTATACTATAGCTTAGGCTGTGATATCTGGAATTAGTTTGCCTTAAATTAGGATTATGGTATGATAGTGCTTTTCTTTCTTTGTCTTCAGCCAGCTGGAAAAAAACTTTTACATGATTCAAGAGCTATCAGTAATTGTATACACAGCGAACCAACCAGCTGAAGTATGAAATAGTCAAGGAAATGCATAGGAAGTATTTTAAAACAAATTATTCTGGAACTGTCTTGTCACTAACCTATTTATATCCAGCTCTTATACGAAGACATACTGTGTTAAGTTGAGCACAAAGGAAATTTCTCTTTGGAAAGGTGCTTCTGCTGCAGTATAAGAGTTCAGAAATATGTCTAGAAGGCCAAGAAAGAAAAGATAATAGAGGTGTGCAGGGTCTTTTGCATGCAGTACCATGAAAATCCTACTTTTGAAACACTTTGTACTTTTCTTTCAAGAGGAATGCATTTCCAATTTTCATTTTTGAGGGAAACCTCAACAATAAAGATCTCTTTTATGGAAAGACCACTGTTCTGTGGTGGAACAGATGCCTTTTATGTAGAATATCTCAGATACAGCTCCTAGTGTACAGTATGTCCATGTATAGTCCTGTGATACTATGGAGAGTTGTTGCTGCTGGCAACTTCAGTTGATGGAGGTGAACCCAAGATGGGTTAATTTTTGGCATCTTCAGATGATGTAGGTTAACCACAGCAGCAACACTATAATTATACAGTTAATTTTAAAAGATTATGAAGTAGATCCCCAGCTGCAATTTTTTTGGCTAAAGATAGGTCATATTGCCAAGAGAGGTGCTATCAATAGTCTCCTTCAGTATAAGATTATTTCTGTGTTTTTGTATCTTCTAAGTGCTCAAAAGCTCAGGGAGAACAGATGTTCTAAGTTGTCATTATAGTAAGGCTATTTTATGTTTCTACTGCTGATGCTTCATCAGGGTGGGTTATAGGGGAATTGTGTTGTGTGTGTGTGTGGGGGGGAGATTGGATATGTGTACCTGGGCCTGGGAAGGAAGGATAAGGGAGGAAGATGGGAAGTAGGAACTGAGGGGGCAGGTAGGGTCAATTCAGTGGTAATGAGCAGAGGGAGATATAGCAGGAATCTGAGAGTGGGCCACCCTTGGGGACACCAAGTCAGCTGGTTGAAAGCACCCCTGCTGTCTGTCCTGCTGCCTGGCACCTGATCCTCAGTGGTCCTGAATTTTGGCTGTTGGTTTTGAATGCCAGGTCAGTAACAAAGCTGCCCTCATCCATGACTTCATTTTGGAGGAGGGTGTCATGTTTTTACTGAGATTTAGTTGGGCCTGGGGGCGGGGGGTGTCCCTTCTCAGAAATGTGCCAATCCAAGTTTTGGGTTCAGCACCAGCCCAAGGGAGGGGAGGAGGGGTGGCCATTGTCGTCCATGTTAAGAGAGCTTTAGATTCTTTCATACCCTGGACAAAGGACAGACTTGGGCCACAGGACATTTGTTGAATGCCCTGCTAGGTGCCAGACATTTCCACTTCAATCAGTGGCTGAATATATGCAGATAACTAGCTTGTATGACTAGTGCTCAGGTACAAATCACAAGGACGGTGACTATTTGATGGTCTTTATGATCACTGGCAACCACTTGTGGAATGGGTGCATGTCTGAAGTGGTGGGACAGAGCTACCTTCAGAGGTAGGTAATCATTTGGGCATTGGATGCAATAGATGCAGGACAGGACTTTTAGGGGAGGGGAGGAGAAGGGAGGGAGAAAAAACATCACCAGAGATGTGGTTTCGCCCACATACAATCTAGCTTCTGAATAGATAAAAACCTTAAGAAAAACCTCCCCCAATGCTCCTATTCACCCACACAGACATAAAACTATGCAATCTTCCTTCCACATACCCCTCACCCCTCCACACACAGGGCTCTTCACTGGAAAGAGAAAGAGAGCCAGGAGCCTGCTCCTTTCTTTCCATGGAAGCACATTAAAGTAGCTCCATTTTTGTTATTATTGCCAGTGAACACTGAACTGCTTCCCTAGAAAGAAAAAGAGCGTATCAGTCCCATTAATCTGACC